GCGGGCGGGCTTGCCTATCGCCCCTGTCCACGGCGCCTTACGAGCCGAGCGAGTAGGCAACCCGCCCGCACTCGTGCATGCGGTACAGCATAACTCCAGAAGTGCGCGGCGTGAATCAGCCACCTGGTACATTGCACTACTGGAAGAGGTAGAGCCAAGTGTCTAGTTTCTCCCAGGCCAAATTTCATAGCTCAAGTCAGTACTTATTTAAAAAATACAGCGAATTTTGTCCGAAATATGGGACACGGACTGTTTATATTTTGAAATGTGTACATGCCGGTGAAAATCTGTGTTACGTTGTAGTATAGGAGTTAACAAAACTATAAATTTACGTCTAAATTGGTTGTGCGAGTGATTTTTGGAAAAAGCATCTAAATCTAGTGAAATATGGGTATATCTCTGAAACTGCTCAAAGGATCGGGATGGGCTTTTCTACACGTGGAGTTTTCTACTTTGGTCCATCAAACTGCAGGTTTTCAAATTTTTAGCCTTACAGTCTGGTAACTCATCGTTTCACCCACACCTCAAAGCAAAATGTATTTTTGTGTGAAGGTGATCTTTTTTTTTCCTTTAATCTATATCAAAGAAACTGTTCTCTGGGTGCTCAAGGAGCTCGGCTCCTATCTCCTAGGGTGCTTGTGTCCTTTTGCCCACAAACGGTATACCGACGTAACATTCGCCTGGCGCCGATGAGATTTGCCGGCGCACGCAGCGATGTGGAACTTGTTTCGCTTAAGGGTAGGTTATTGTTCTTTTCCTTTTTTTCCTTTTCGAGAATCGACGATTTGCTTGTGCCAATCTGCTGGCAGCCGAACCGAGCCACTGGCGCGGTAGAGAGCAGATGCTCACGGAAGCAGCGCTAAAGTGGAGTTGGTGTTGATGACGATAGCTCTGGCTGAAAAGCAGCATGCTGGTTTGCTCCTGTTCGCCGCGTAGAAAACTTTCTATGAATTCTGTTCCACAATATGTATTGGCTGCCCACATTCAATACGATGCGCCA